ACTCCCGCTCAGTCGTAGGGTTCTCTGCCAGGCCCCTAGGTGGGCTCCCGCCGCCGATCCTGCGTCCTCTCCCACCCGCGTTCGCAACCCGCCGCACTCACCGCATCCTGCGGCTGAAAGCCAAGGTCCCTCCATCTCGGCATTCCGGTTTCCGGGGTATGCGCGACGACTTCTGGGACCCGGGAGCCAACCGAAAGCTGGTAGCGAGGGCGCGGAATTCACGGGCGGGCTCCTCCGGCACCCCCGCCCACCCAGACATCCACTGCGCATTCTCCGCCTCCCCAAAGCCCGAAGGCTGGTCTCAGCTCCGCCACAGGCGAGGTTCTCCGCGGCGGGAGCCTGCGCCTGCGTACTGCAGCCAACCCGGAACTCCCAGGTGTCTCCGCGGCCCCAATGCGACGGCTTCCGCGCTGCATCTCGGGAACTCTGAGGAGGCTCTTACTATGTACTACATTTCCCCCGAAGACGTGGGATCCGCCGCGGCTCGAGGTCAGGAAGTGAATACCGTCTGCAGCGGGAAGGTTCTGCAGATTCCACCTGGAGCTGTTGGGTTTGGAGCCCAAGAAACCCGTGGCGTTCACGGCGCATGCGCGACGTGCCCGGCTAGTACGTGAGAACAGGCGGGAGATAGCGGGACTGTGGGCGTGAGGGCGTGCGCATGCGCATGGCTGTGGGCGTGGCGTCCTCCTGGGTATGGTGCGCACGTGCTAGGCGTTGAGGCTCTGACCAGTTCGAAGGCGAGGATGCCAGGCTGGCGGTAGGGTGCTGAGTTCATTGGGGAGCCGTTGCTCCGGAGAAAGAATATGAGTCGCCACGTCACGCTCTTTCCTCGGACTCTCGTTGCAGCCATGTGGAGTTTCTGCGGGGATGAACAGGGGAGCACCTCCAGTGTACATCAGGAGCGAAAATTTGCAGCAGAGCGGATCAGGGTCGGGTTTGACCCGTAGATGTCAGGTGCTCTGAACTAAGTTGCAGATGGCTTCAGGACAGGACCGAATGTGTATGCCCACCACCAGGCCGACTGCCTCCACCCCTGCACCCCCTGAGGATCCGTGAGAATGCCCTGGAATTACTTTTTAATCTTAAACCACAGCATTCCCTGAGTTTTGGCCCCCGGAGCATGGTGTGAACCCAGAGACACATTGCTGGTTCCCTCTCACTTCCCTCAGGTAATGTGACTCAGGTGCGGACAGTGTGACCCTGCAGTGTGTTCTAACTTCAGGCGAGTCCCAAGAAAGGCCTGATGGGTCACAAGTCTCTAGGAGGTGGAAAGCACTGTTATTACTCACCGAAAAATAAAGATGTGGGTGGGTTTAAATTTTCCTTTAGTTAATAAGATATTTTTGCTTCTTTGTTTTCTAATAATTTATTTAAAAAAATAAAACTGGCCATTTTAAGTATAGTTCCGTGGGTTTTCATAAATTCATACTTTTACTACCATAGTCAAAATACAGAACACTCCATTCTCCCACGAAAACAACTTTAGTGCCCATTTGTAGACAAACTTCCCCCCACTCTTAATCCTCTGACCTATGCTAGTTCCTTATACCTTTACTTTTTCCAGAATGTCATAAAAGTATAGTCTTTTGAATACTGTATTCATTTAGAAAAGACTTTATGTATTTATTTTGAGAGAGAGAGAGAGAGAGAGAGAGAGAAGGAGCAGCGGGAGGGGCAGAAGGAGGGCAGAGAAGACTCCTCACTGAGCAGGGAGTCCAAGGTGGGGATCGATCCAGGACCCTGGGATTATGACCTGAGCTGAAGGCAGACACTTAACCAACTGAGCCATCTGGGTGCCCCTCCAATCCTGTGTTTAAAATTTAATGTTACATTTTGAAAATTGTGTACTCGTCCTCCAGAATTGGGAGATTTCAAATTCCCAACAGTGCCCAGATGGCTCAGGATCATGCAATAACAGTAATCTCTGCTGTGCTGTGAAAACAAGAGTTAACATGAGAAACGGATGAAGTCTGGACTTCATTTGCCTTTTAATTAAAAGCAGTGCTGTTATGTTTTTCTTTCCTAATACGTATTGGAAGTATAAGCATGTGGAAAGAATACCGGTAACAAGCAAAATGGACATTTTGGGCTTTGTGGATTATTAAAACAAAAGCTTACAAGTTCTCCTGCTATAGATGGTTATTAAAACTTTCCCTAGGGGCGCCTGGGTGGCTCAGTTGGTTAAGTGTCTGCCTTCGGCTCAGATCTTGATCCCAGCGTCCTAGAATCGAGCTCTGAGTTGGGCTCCCTGCTCAGCAGGGCGTCTGCTTCCTCCTCTCCCTGCTTTTGCATGCATGCTAGTGCTTTTGCTCTCTCTCTTTCTCAAATAAATAAAATCCTTTAGAAATTTCCCTAATTGAGGTTGTCTAATAAATTGGGATGTCACTCAAAAGGATACCCCTAGTCTGCAGCTTACTTCACTTATTCTTTGGGTAGTTTTCCCTTTTACCACCCATACCTCTTCTCCTTGCTTCTGTTAGGAAATCACAGTGGACTGCATAGAGATCGCTCTGCTCATTGAGGGGTTAGAACTGTGTGGATAACCATAAGTTTCCTTAAACTATGAGGAACTCTGATTTTCTGCAGAACAAATGTCAGTCAATGTGTGGGAGCCCCAAAATGATAGCACCAAATATATGAGGCCATTTCAAAATATTTCACAAGGATGTTAAATACAAACATCTATACACTGTGCTTCCAATTCATAGGAACTGTCTGATCCCAAATACCCATGTCCAGTCTCGTAAACATATATGACATGCCTAAAATCTTTAACCATTGCAAAGTTTGTGGCTAAACTGTATCTTCACTTTTATGGGAAATAATTACTATTAATTCCACGAGTGGGGAATTATTTCTATATTGCCACCCACTATTTATGAACACTTTTGAACAGTTCCAGAAAGGATCTAAGGCATGTTAGGTGGGGTAAGTATACATGAATCGATGATATTCCCATTCATTGAGGCCTCTATCCTTCATTCTTATCCCTTTTATCTGCCTTGTCATGGTTTATATTTTACTTCACTCCACTTTTATATTATCTAATGGACTTTTTAAAATACTGTCTCATCAGAATATTTTTATATCATTTGCTAGACTTATTTACTACTTAATTGCTTAAACTATTGAGTTTTTACTATTATGAATAAGAAATTATATTGACAAAACTGCACCAGTATACAAAATAAAATTTTCTAGCATGAAAAATGTCTAGATTTGAATGCACTTGGTAATATTGACTCAGAATGTATAATTCCTAAATTCACAGCTACAAAGTTGATTTGACAGGTGATAGTTGGAATGTTTTAATAATTTTCCATAACTTTTTAAAAGATTTTATTTATTTATTTGACAAACAGAGATCACAAGTAGGGAGAGAGGCAGGCAGAGAGAGAGGGGGAAGCGGGCTCCCTGCTGAGCAGAGAGCCTGATGCAGGGCTCGATCCCAGGACCCTGAGATTATGACCTGAGCCAAAGGCAGTGGCTTAACCTACTGAGCCACCCAGGAACCCCAACTTTCTGTAGAGAGTAAAGTAAATTAGTATACATTTGAAAACACAGTTAATAGGATATTTTTCAGAAACATTTTATACATTTTATAAAGTACATAACTCATATGAAAACAGTTAATAGACTATTTCTCAGAAACACAGCATTTGTTCAACAAAAAAAGTACACATCGTGTCCAACCACACATACTCAATCTTAATAACAAGACATCCTGAGGGGTTGCATCCAGTGCTGAGTAACAGAAAACCCACACAGTCTGCCCAGTATGTCAGTAGTGCTTATTTATTTCACAGAAATACTGGGTAAGTGTAGCTGCTCAAGGACGCTGCAGGGAAACACCTCCCTTATGTTGTTATGGGTGCCCCACTGCATCTGTTCTAGATGGAATCAGGAACACAGAAGCATAAGAAATAATAAGAGAATGAGGTGTTCACCATATGAATCAGGTGTTATTCAAATATGTTAAGATCTAGAGAAAAGAGGTCAGAGCATTAGACAATGTCAACAGCCATGACGTCCTAATCAGTGGCCTGGTGGACAGTATAGGGCTTTTGGGAAAATATAAGCTGTGGACATCGAACCACGGAGGTACCTCCATGATGGGAAGGCTGGTAGGGTGTCTGTGAAAGGCCACCCCCTGACAAAATGGAATTCATGCAGTTGCTATGTGTTTTGAGGATACTTTTGATTGGCAAGACTAGGAATCAGGAAAATAAGCTGCAGATGGTGCCCACCACATCCCCATGCATCTCTCTATCTCCTTATGTGGTGGTGGCTCAATAAACTGAAAATTGCTTCTTCCAAATCTCATGCAAGCTGGGCTCTCCAGAATTCTACCATGGAACCATATAGAGAAGGCCTCTTGGGAAATGTAGTTCCCAGCCTTACCTATGTTGATAGAACACAATCCAGAAGAACCATCTACACCTCTAGATTTCATTCTCTTCTTAACTGAAACATATTGTCCACTTCCTAACCAGAAGCCAGGACAAAGAGCATATAGCAACAGATGGAAATAATAATTCATATGAAACTATATTCTTTCAAGACCACTGCGTACCTACAAATTTCTGCCAATTTACATAATTACAAAATTGGAACCAAGCAAAATGGAATAATGAAACTCTGGCAAAAAAAAAAAAAAAAACGGTGTTGAGAATACATACCTTATGTAAGCAAAGGAGTGCCAACTTTCAAAGTCATAGTTTCTCTCAGGAAGAGAACATGATGGAATATATGTAATGGGAAAGTGATACCCAATTTGGAACACACTGGGCCAGTAAGAAAATCTAAACAAATATCAATGTTACATTAGTCTAAAGGTCCCACACTTACAGAACAATTTTAAAAAATAATATAAAAGTAGAGGTCCCATTAAGGATGAGATACTGAGGAATACCATCTTTGTAACTTTTGCACAATTTTTCTTCTGGTGTGGATTTCCCAAACTGTTTTAGATGAGTTAATTGGCATCAGGTTTTCTCACATTACTTACAAGTTTTCTTTTGTTGACTGTGAGTTCTCACATGACTATGAAAGGATTTGGGGCAACTGAAAGTTTTCCCACATTTTTCACAGGTATGAGGTCTCTCTCTAGTCTGCATCCTTACTGTTTTAGAAGGATGAGGACCATTTGCAGGCTTTTCCACATTGCTTACGATTACAGGCTTCTCTCCACTGTGTTTTTTGACATGTTTGTGTAAAGATGAGGACCAACCAAATGCTTTCCCACATTTTTCACACTTATAGGGTTTTTCTTTAGTCTGCATTCTTATATTTTTGGAAGAATGAGGGCCAACTGAAAGTTTTCCCACATGGCTTGCATTTACGGGTTTCTCTCCACTGTGATTTCTGTTATGTTTGTGCAAGGACGAAGACCAACCAAATGTTTTCCCACACTCTTCACACCTATAGGGTTTCTCTCCAGTCTGCATTCTTACATTTTTGGAAGGATGGGGGCCAACTGAAGGCCTGCCCACGTTGTTTGCATTTACAGGTTTGTCTTCAGTGTGCATTCTGACATGTTTGTGTAAGGATGAGGGCCAACCAAATGCTTTCCCACATTTTTCACATTTATAGGGTTTCTCTCCATTGTGAATTCTCACATGTCTCTGAAAGGATGTGAGCCAACAGTAGCCTTTCCCACACTGCTTACATTCATAGGGTTTCTCTCCAGTGTGCATTATCATATGTACTCGAAAGGATTTGGGACAGCTAAAGCCTTTCCCACACTGCTTACATTCATAGGGTTTCCCACCATTATGCATCATCACATGTACTCGAAAGGATTTAGGGCAACTGAAGGCTTTTCCACACTGCTTACATTCATAGGGTTTCTCTCCAGTGTGACTCCTTATATGTCCAGTGAGGGAATGGGAACGAATAAATGTTTTCCCACAAAGCTGACATGCATAGGGTTTCTCTCCACTGTGAGTTTTCACATGATTCCTCAGGTATGAAGAACAACTGAAGGCTTTCCCACATTCCTCACATTGATAAAGTTTGCGTCCAGTGTGACTCCTTTTGTGCCTCTTAAGGGATGAACGATGCCTGAAGACTTTTCCACACTGACTGCATTCATACAGTTTTACTCCACTGGAAGTTTTCTTGTACAGCTTAATATTTGGAATATGGCTGACAATTTCTCCACATGTATCACCTTTGCTACTTTCACAGAGTCTCTCCACTATATGACTTCTGCTAAAAAAAGGGGGGGGGCACATTGTTAATGGTTTGTGTATTCATAATTTATTAATATTTGTTAATGAGTGCTAGGATTATATTTCTCCCATTTTCTATATATATGTAGGCTTTCTTTTTTTTAAGAGTTTATTGGCTTATTTGAGAGAGAGAGAGAGAGAGAGAGAGAGAGTACCACAGCAGGGAGGGGCAGAGAGAAAAGGAGAAGGAGACTCCCCACTGAGCAGGGAGCCTGATGCAAGACTCGATCCCAGGACCCTGGGATTATGATCTGAGCTGAAGGCAGAGGCTTAACCCACTGAGCCACCCAGGTACCCCATAAATACAGGTCTTCTGTCCTGTTTGAATTATTTCAAAGTGAAAAAAACTAGCTGCTTTGGGAATGCGATTAAGCACAGCCTACTACTACAACAGTGTTTCTCACATATGGTTCCCTGATCATTGTTTCCCACTGAATTATCTTTCCAATGCTCAATGTCTGAGTCACATGAAGAAAAAAAAGGAAGGAATGATTTGTGAATAAACAAATCTGGAGCAAGGTTTATCAGTTTTTTGGTTTTGTTTTTTTAATTTCATGAACTAGTAAGATTCTCTCCTGGACTATTGTGTTTTCTCCAAAGTGCAACTCACCTCAAATATCTTCCCTCATTGTTGTGTTTATCTTCAATGCACTGGTCTTCCCAATTTTCTCCAAAAAGGGAGGTCCAGAAATCATTTTTTGTGAATCTTGCTATTTTCTGTTCATTGGATAATTTTTCTCCAAAACTATCCTGCTGAGAAATGGACCCAATGGTTTTAAATTGAGTCTCATCATCTAAAACAAAACAGGGAACAAATCTTATCAGGAAGGCACCTGTGAGCAAAGAAATACATTCAGTTTAGCTGTTTCAAAACTTCATTATTAAGAGGCATAAGAGGGGGGCACCTGGCTGGCTCAGTGGGTTAAGCCTCTGCCTTCGGCTCAGGTCATGATCTCAGGGTCCTGGGATCCAGCCCCACATCAGGCTCTCTGCTCAGCAAGGAGCCTGCTTCCCCCTCTCTCTCTGCCTGCCTCTCTGCCTTACGATCTCTCTCTGTCAAATAAATAAATAAAGACTTTAAAAAAAAATGAGGCACTAGAGGTCAAAATGGAGGCAATTTATATCTTAATTTTTTAAGAGATTTTATTTATTTGACAGAGAAAGCGCACATGCACAAGCAGGGGGAGCAGCAGGTAGAGGAAAAGATAGAAGCGGGCTCCTGAAGATCAGAGAGCCTGATGCAGGGCTTGATCCCAGGGCCGTAGCATGACCTGAGGTGAAAGCAGATGCATAACCCAGTGAGCCGCCCAGGCGCCCCTGGAGGAGATTTAATATGCACAGAAACACCACAAGATTTCAAACAATCAGCTTCCCCACGCCCACAGAGTGACTCATGGATGTATGCCCAGACTGATGACACTGAAGGACCCTAAGGATTTCAAAGAAGACAGATAGAAAAATACAGGTTAATATGTAGATTTTTACTGTCACAGAGAAACTGTTAGATTCTAGATCCATGATAGCTGTTATCATGCCTGTTTTGTTTATCAATGTGTACTCCTTCTTTAGTCCAAATCTTGAAATAGGCTTAATGAATACATACTTAGTCTCTAAATAACCAAGTGAAGGGTGAATGCCTCCTTACCTACTGAGACCAGGTTCCTGAAGGTCTCCAGCATCACATCTCTGTAGAGCTTCCTCTGAGAAGGATTCAGCATAGCCCACTCCTCTTGGGTGAAGTCCACAACCACATCCTCGAAAACCACTGAGTCCTATAACAAGCCACATAATCGTAGGAGAGCGGGTGACATGGACAACACAGGGAAAGTGGACTCAAATTCACCAGAAGTTCAAGCAAGATTCATTGGTCTCCCCACATCTAATCTATGCCCACACTCATTTTCTGTATCATAATCTTTTCTTTTTATAGATTTTATTTATTTATTTATTTATTTGAGAGAGAGTGAGTGCATGCAAGGGAGCATGAGCAGGGCGGCGGGTTGGGGGGAGCAGCAGAGGGAAAGACAGAAGCAGACTCCCAGCTAACAGGGAGCCCAACATAGTACTTGATCCCAGGACCCTGAGATCATGACCTGAGCCAAAGGCAGACACTTAACTGACCTGAGCCACCCAGGTGCCCTCTGTATCATACTCTTTCCTTTTTTTTTTTTTAAAGATTTTATTTATTTATTTGACAGAGAAAGACACAGCGAGAGAAGGAACACAACTAGGAGGAGTGGGAGAGGGAGAAGCAGACTTCCCGCTGATTGCGCCTGATGTGGGGCTCGATCCCAGGACTCTGGAATCACAACCTGAGCCAAAAACAGACACTTAACGACTGAGTCCCCTAGGCTCCCCCTTCTGTATCATCGTCTTACACCGTTAACACATTGAACTTATCTCTCTCTCCATTTTTACTGTGGCCTTCCTGTGTGATCCCTGCCTTTTCACAGAGTCTAGAATAGTCCAAAAAATACTGGAGAAATTAGAGAAATGCTATACAAATGAAACAAATATTGCTATTTTATGACTATCAATTCCTTGTGACAAAAATGATTTCCTTTCTTTCCTTATTGCCCACCACAACTCCCAGCACTGCATAAGCCACCAGTTCAAATCTTGATGAGATTCTGATAAATAAAAACACACTGAAGGAACTTTTCCTTCATTTCCTCTCAACAGCAGTGAGAGGCCCAAGGTAGAAACCAAACTTACAATGTGGGCCAACTGACCCTGTGTCTTGATGTTCCCCATTCGAAATCTGCAAGTCCAGCTGGGTGCAGAAAGACTTCTGCAGAAGTGCTCATTTTAATTTCTATGTGTATTATTTAATACATTTTTTATCACAGAATCAATTGCTACTCCTTCTTCCTTATATCCCCTTAATTTGAGACAGGAGAGGTATTGAGAAAGAGGAGGAAAGAGGAAGACGTGAGAATTCAGAAGGAGAGAAGAAGACATGAGAACTTAGACCTCTCCGTAATATCCACATTCATGAACCTTGGTGTTGGTGTGCATTCATATTGCGGACACACAAATACACACTGAGGTTACAAGATGCCAGAACAGCTCATTCCATCCAAGGCATGCTGGTGCCTTGATCTTGGACTTCCCAGCCTCCATATCTGTGAGAAATACATCTCTGTGGTTTACAGGCCACTCTTCGGTATTTCATTGCAGCAGCCCGAGTGGGCTAAGACACATTGCCAGAGACTGGAGCAAATTGAGATGCGGAGTAACAGTCAAGGTGGTGGACAGTGATGGGAGGTGGAGCACATCATCTTGTGGGGAACGAGTCAGATCTGACTCTGTGAGAAATGCGGACTATTCAGCATTTTGCACAGAGCAGTGACGTCCTCCTATGGCTTTAATGACCCATCACTTGTGTTGAGACTTGAGCGCAGGGGATGGATGTAGAGACCAGAACAGCTGATGAGAAAATAAAGCCAGAGCCAGGTGAGAAGAAGGTGGGTCACCCTGGGCACTCACAGTGGAATGTGCAGGGAAAACATAGATAAGAGCTACTGATTCCCAGTGGACTGAAGTCAGGGCAAGACAGAATGAGATTTAATGACTCTGGTCAATTCTCACAGTAAAAACTGGAATAATGGAGTTTCCATCAATCGAGATGTAGGAGACCTTATGTGGATTAAGTTCTTGGGGAACTTGAGGAAGAGCAATTCACCTTAAGGTATACCAAGATGGGGATAAGAATAAGATATCCCAGGACACCTGGGTGGCTCAGTGGGTTGAGCCTTGGCCTTCAGCTCAGGTCATGATATCAGGGTCCTGGGATGGAGCCCTGAATCAGGCGCTCTGCTCAGCAGGGAGCCTGCTTCCCGCCCCCCTCTCTCTGCCTCTCTGCCTACTTGTGATCTCTGTTAAATAAATAAATAAATCTTTAAAAAATAAAATAATAAAATAAAGATTATTTTTAAAGGAACATATAAATGGAGTGAAGTTCATTATTTTCTATCCAAAAAAGTACAAAACTAGATTTTCTATCCAAAAGTACAAAACTATTTTCTATCCAAAAAAGTACAAAACTAGATTCCTGCCTCACTCCTAATCAACACTATACTAGAGATCCAATCTAGTGCCACTTGGAAATAAACAAATATGCAGAATTATAAAAGAATAGAAGATCATTGTTATCGTTAGCACGAACAAGCATATGCATAGGACCCCAACAGAACAAAGAACCAAAGGATAAGATTTTTAGCATGATTCTAGATCAAAAACACAAGATGAAAATAAAAGTCATCCCCTTTCCATTTAATAACGACACTACGTTGGAAAACTCGTGTTAAAAAGTGAGCATGAGGGGCACCTGGGTGGCTCAGTGGGTTAAGCCTCTGCCTTCAGCTCGGGTCATGATCCCAGGGTCCTGGGATCGAGCCCCACATCGGGCTCTCTGCTCGGCAGGGAGCCTGCTTCCCCCTCTCTCTGTCTGCCTCTCTGCCTACTTGTGATCTCTCTCTCTCTCTCTCTCTCTGTCAAATAAATAAATAAAATCTTAAAAAAAAAAAGTGAGCATGACTGTGTGGCAATATGAGGTACCCTGTGGAGCTGCTCCCCAGCAAAACTATGAAATCACTTTTAACACCATCATTTCAAGCCTCTGGACATAGTCCTGAGGGCAGGGAGCTGAGGAAACAGGTATTCATGAAACTCGATACGAATTCAGTAAGAAAAGTTAACAGTCTGGTATTTGAACCAAGACCACTCTCCCTTTCCCTAGACTTCTTTTTCAGACTGCAGCCAAAAACACGGGCTCCTAACTGGAGAAGAAGGATGTCAGCATTTCTCATCCTGCCCCCGTTAGCTGTGACTGAGTTCAAGCTCCAAGCAAGGGCAATTGACAGGTGGGGGCTCTCCACTTCCACCAGCCCCCACATGTGGGGTCTACAGTGGGCACAGGGCTGATGAGAATACTGGACACCTAACTGGTCTTGTTCTGCCTCATAAGGCAGAGGTTCCACATCCGAGAGAGGCAAGTTGAGAAGGCATCAGGCAACTGCCCTTCAGCTCTAAGTGGGGTGTCACTCAGGAAGAAGTGTGCCTCCATCCCCATCTCACCGCAGTTCCCTGGCTCTGAGATACTGACAAGGAGGAAAAGCAGGCTCTAAAACGGATCGCCCCAGCCTCTTCCTGGAGAACGGACTTCATTTACAACAGGAGATGGAGAATCTTAAGCCTAAGGGCGCTCTCAGAAACAATGCGAGTTGTGGTGAAAGGCAACAGGGAAGAGATTCAAGATACAGGCAAAATCGTCGTCCACCTTGTTTGCAGGGAAGAAACAAGGAAAGAGGAAGCTGGGGGACCCTTCCAAGGATCTGAACAACCAACAAACATTGATCTGTGAACTATTCCTTCCCAGGAGTCCAAATTCGACTGATTAGCCCATAGAGGAAAGTATGCACCGTGGCAGTTTCAAAACAGTCAAGCCGTCAGCCAACAATCAGTGGAGCTTAATAGCTTAATAGTCAAGGAAAGAAAAGAAAAGAAGAAAACCCCGTCCAGACCACTGCCATCCCAGGGTGACTGAGGAGGAATACCAGAGGCTTAACACTGAAGGGGGTGGGATGGGAGTGAAATAGATTTGACTAAAATAATCCAGCCGGTCACCAAGCAGGCACAGTCATGGCCCCAGAGGACAGAGGCTAGTACCCCAAATTGCTACAATGTATTACCTGTAGTGTCCAGTTTCCAACAAAAAATTACAAGGCATGAAAAAGAAAAGGACACTGTGACCCTTATAGCAGACAAATAAGCAGGCAATGGAAACTGGGAGCAAACAGATATTGGATTTAACAGAAGAAGGCGTCAAAGGGACTTACAAATGTGTTCAAAGAACTAAAGGAAATCATGATTAAAGATGCAGAGGAATAGATAATGACAGTGATGCACCAAATAATATCAATAAAGAGACAGAAATTATTCTGGAGGAAATTTTCCACAGGAAAATTCTGGAGTCGGAAAGCACAGTAACTGAATCAAGTCCCTAGAGGACTCAACCACTGATTTGAACTTGCAGGTGAAAGAACTACAAAGTACGTTACTCCATCCTCATGAACTGTCCAGAATAAGAAATTCTCAAGAGGCAGAAAGTGCATTAGTGGTTATTTATGGCTGGGAGCAGGATGGAGGGTGATAGATAAAGGGCATGAGGTTTCTCTTGAGGCGATAAAAACAAACTAAAATTGAACATGGTGATGGCTGCTTCTTTCTGTGAAGAAACAGACACACTGAACTATATACATCCTAAATTGGTAAATTGTACAATATGTGAATTATATCTTAATAAACCTTTTTTTTTAAGCTAGCACATAATGGGGCTCCTGGGTGGCTCAGTCACTGAGACTCTACCTTAGGATCAAGTCATGATCTCAGGGTCCTGGGATCGAGCCCCGCATCGGTTCCCTGCTCAGTGGGAAGCCTGCTTCTCCTTCTCCCACTCCCCCTACTTGTGTTCCCTCTCTTGCTGTCTGTCTCTCTCTCTCTCTCTGTCAAATAAATTAAAAAAATAAAACCTTAAAAAATAAAGCTAACACATAATAAAGAATTCTACTGAAGGGTATAAAAAGATTCTAATGGGCCAAAACCTCAACTTTATTGGGTAATATCAAAGTAGAATTAAGTAAATAGAAATTTGGGACATGTTCTTAGAAAGAATTCAATGTCACCAAGATGTCAGCTGCCCAAAAAGAAACCTGTAGTCTTTATAAAATTCCAGTAAATCCTCAGAAATGATTTTCCACGACTTCATAAA